AGCAAGGAGTTTGTGTCTAGATGCTGTACTAGTTTGTCCGAGCCAGCCTAAGGATTGACATCAAACAAGGTGATGTAGAAGTTTAAAAGGTTCAGCGCCAGGCATCTCAAGCTACTCAATAATTTGAGTTAGAAGCCTACCTACCTAAGTGAACAACTAGGTCCGGATGCTAGTTCTCTTGACATCTGTCACAGCTCAGACCTTAGAGTGAAACAAACACCATATACTTGTGAGTGGAATCCACAAGTGCACCAGGTTCAAAATCAAACTAACTTATTATCTATAATCAAATACAAATAAACAATGTTTGTTAATACTTCTATTATTTTTAAAAAAATTTAAATAATGTTCAAATAAATATTTTAAAGTTAAATTATGTAATAATTGCAAATAAAATCTTTTGACTTTCTGATAAGTCCAAAAGGACTAAGTCAAGTTTCAATTAAGTCCAAACCAACTTTAATAAGTATTAATCAGATGCCTTAATCCCCAACATCTCTAGTATTGTTACCTAAAATGACGGACAAGGAAAACATGAGATATAATCTCAATAAGTGAGTGTTATGGTTCCCCTTTTATTTTATAAATTTAAAATCAAGCATTCCAACAAGTGTAAATTAAGTATCAAGAAAACCGATACAACAAGAAATGAAATAGACACCTCTTCTATAAGTCATGGCCAACGTTTATAAACCTCCTAGTGGCGGGCACAAGATTGCTTGTGTATAATGCCACAAGTAGGATAACAAGTATAACTAGAATGAGTCAGTTCCACAAGTAACATGTTGATATGTCCTAGCATCTATAAACCTCTTACTAGTGGATACAAGTAAAACATGACCACATTGGAGACTAAAAGAGTCTAGCAAGTACATTTCAAATAAATATAGTTATTTCAAGAAAACTAATATCACATGGACTAAGCAGTATATATTAAAAGCTTTTATAAATAGGCTTGCTAATTAATCAATTAATATTCAACTTAAATTAAAATGAGATTTAGTCATGATAACTAAACTAAAATAGGTTCTTAATTCTACTATCATCTCAAAATAAAAATCATGTTTTAAATTTATATTTTAAAATTAAAGGTAAAATCATAAATTTACTATTTGAGATCATAAATTTAAAATGCACAAATAGTTAAGAATCGAAAATTTACATTGAATATTAATCAGTAACAAACCAAAATTACTAATATTTATTTAATTTAATAATACTTAATTTTACAAGATCCTTATTAAATTTTCTATACAGGTGTTTGCATTTATTTATTTACTAGAATTAAGGGTGTTGGCACCACTTTATCAACCTCACCCTAAATCTGTCGCATTGCACCCATGTAAACGCACCACACGGCATGGTGTACTGTTGTAGCACCACCGGTCCCATCTATTAATATTTCTATTATTTTAATAAATCAGTAGGTGTCAACACCTGATCTGTTACCAGCGTTAGAGGTGTTGATACTATTGACAAATCTCAAAGACTCAATCTAGCGAGGCGATGACATCGTCGCCACACATCCATGCACAGCAGCACTCCCACGCAATCGCGTGGGTGTTGCTGTATAGCAACTCATTCCCTTTTATTTATTTATTTTTGATATAGTGAAATTGTTTTATTTATTTATTTTTGATATAGAAGAATAGTTAGGAATACGAAGAATTAGTGTTTGATAATAAATTTTAAAATTTCATGTTTAGACACGTTTAGGCACGTTTAAGCACGTTCTTACAAGAGGATAACCACTAAAATATATAGTACCGAATAAGTCTTTTCCTCTTTAATTGCTACTTATAAATATATATTTTTGTATTCATACTATTTATTGATCCCAAGATATGAAAATTCATCCAGATCTAAAATTTTAATGTTAGATTTGATATGAAACTTTAATAATAAGTTTAATAAGAGATCCAAAAATTA